TATGCAACTAAACCAGCTTCCTCTCTTCCAGATGCAGTTTGTGATTTGACCACTAGGAGGGGACAGATGTAAACAAATGCCTCTTGTTGCAATCCTGCCTGCATGTGCTTTGATTTGCACTTTGGGCTTCCTACATGTGCAGAGACTGATTTAAACACAGATGTACAGAGAAAGTGAGGACTAACCTTGAGCAGGGCGAGGGCTACGTTGAAGATGATGTTCAGTCCCTGAAAGAGAAGAACTATTTGTGAAAACAGAAACAATAGAAACAGCTACCTTCATTTGCATGTGTAGTTTTTAAAAGCCACTTTAGCAATTTTAAACTTGATGCTGCACTTTGGAGCTGTAAAAATGAAAATCTGCAAACAGCAAACAGAGTCACAATTTTCTGAAACAATACTTCAATCTCGAGTTCTGCAAGAATCACTGCCACAGTCAACCAAAAAGAAACTGTCGGCTCAGGTCAGGATAACCTCAGCTTCTTATTTTCTATTTACCTTTATAAACACACGATCACAGTGAAGGATGCTCTGTTCACATACACAAGTACAGTTTAACTGTTCATCATAGCGATGCTGGACATGCAATTACAGGATCAAACAGAAACAAATATCTACTGTGTAACAAGCTTCTGCTGTTTTACTATCAAAGAGCTCCAGAAAAGTCCTTCCAACACAACTTTATAAATATTTTCACAGACGAGCAGATGTGTGAGCTGAACATGGTCTTTTACAATTAGCTCATCAGTATTTATTTAGCGATGCCACAGAGCACCTTTCAGTTCAGTTCAGCATAAAATTTGTAGGAAACACAAATTTCCTTTTATCGTCTGATGAGTACTGAATGATTCTGCAGCTGCAGCACAAAGAAACCCAAATACAAGCTTCACAGGGCAGAGCCAATCCAGAGGCGCAGAGTGCTGCTTAAAAACAAACGCCCCTTTGTTTGATATATAATGTGCATATTTTGTTGTATTATTTCGACCATTTCTTCATACAGTGCTTTTAATTTTGATCAAAAGAAAGAAAATGTAATGCGGATGCAAACTCTGCATGGGAACACCCATCTCCTTGGTCTCCGTGACAACCAGTTCACATGGCAACACAGAGCTAAAAATATCTGAGCAGCTCTAAAAATATCTGAAGAAAGAGAAAAGAGGGGGAGCTCTGCCTCCACACACCTATCTATGCAGGCCTCAAGATGGCGCTAGAGTGCTGAGGCATGATCAAAGGCGTGTTTGGGAGGAGAGATTATCTCAAACTGTGTGTTCAAGCTGGGCACGTTGTTGGGGAGACGAGAGAAACATCCATAGACGGGGAGATGCTAAACTGGGGAGAGAAGATCTATCTATCTATATCTAGAGAGAGATTATAGATATAGAGCGAGGGGAATGATCAGCATACATTTCTAAGGAGACCATCAAATAAAGACAGCAGCTGAGACAAAAAGAGTGATTAACAATGAGGGTGTGACAGTGACGAGGAACAATCACAAAGAAGAAGATTGTCAGAGTGAAACAAAAGAACAAAGAGTTTGTCCTGCTTTAAAACAGCGACGGATTTACAGGTTTACATACAAACAGAAAGAAAAACAGCAAGAAAACAAAGATGAAAAAAAACTCACCACAGAAAAGTTTCAGGAAATGACAAAGTGTGAGTGCAACAAACAAAATGACAATACAAGAAAAAGATAATGGAAAAAGAAGAGAGGAGTGAGAGATGATGAAAAGGATGAGGGGGGAGCATAATATCACAATGCTGCTTTAACAGGCAGATTGTCATCATGCGGCTCAATGGGTGAGAAAGACTTGGGAAACTTTTAATTGTTCTGCCTGAGGCTAACTGGGAGGCAGGAAAGAAGGAAGGGAAGAAGGAAGGAAGGCAGAGAGGGAGGAGGATGGAAGAAAGTTGATTTTGCATTTGATGCAATTACAGTGAGACAGTCGGTCAGAGCATTAGGAATGAAAACACTAATATCCCACCGTGTGTATGTACTTTTATTTTTAAAATAGAGTCATTAAGTCAAATTGTAACCAAGGACGATGGTGGTAACTGATAAGGTTACTTTGTGTTAAAGGTCAGAATGTGACACAGCAGGTCATACTCGCTGCACACTTACTGAATGACAGAAGTTCATTAGGATCTGCATGCATTAGATCAGGTGTCCCTCAGGGCTTTGTTATCGGCCCATGCAGCCTTGTGCGTAGGCTGAAGCATTACATGGCCCCCGTTGTATTTCTGGCTCCACCAAGTCTATGGCAGCTACATCTGTCCCCTAATCCAGCGCTCCCCAACCTTTTTTGTGCCACGGACGGTTTAATGTCAGACAATATCTTCACAGACCGG